CCTCCTCTTTCCTCAGTCATTGCTCACTTCCCAGAAAGCTGAGCCTGTGCACAGCAGGAGCTGAGCCATGACAACAGAGAGCGAGTCCCAGGAGCACGCCCTCTGTCCCAGACCGGTGAAGGCAGAGTTCAGCCCACAGCCATCTGGTCAGACTGGTGGAGCAGCTTACCGAGGCGATCCTGTTGGACTGAAACGGACAGAGACAGACAGAGGGCTACGGGGAGCAGAGAGCGTGAGAGCCAACCAGACCCAAAGAAGCCAATGAGCATATGAGGGAAGACTGAAAAGATAGCAGGCAGCCAGGCCCAGCAACTCATGTGCTAGTCCAGCCCTCATGGCAACCCCAGTGGAATAGTCCAGGCCAAAACTAGTGAGCCAAATCCTGAGCTCATTTTAATGGCTTCTGTCCCAAACCTGAGTCACTGGGGATTCCATGACATCTAAGAGAGCCCTACATGCATTTCTAAAAACAAACTGCTTGATGCTGTCATGGAAAACCTGGATCTTTGCGTTCTGTGGTTTCATTATGGATTACATCCAGGTCACAACCTAAGGAAGACAGCTGGGGGCGACGACCCTGCTGGCCGATTACCCAGCTTTTGTAATGAATCCCAGAGGGCTCCGGATGATGTGTGTTTCTGGCTCTGCCAAGCTCTGGACAAGTCCTCACCTCGTGAAGACCAATCAGCCTATGATTTAGTTTGTGTCGGGAGCCTGAAAAGCCACCTGCAGTCAAGGCTCAACTGCGAGAAGCTGCCTCCAGCAAGGAGAGGAATTAGAGACTGTGTGTCAGACGGAAGAGCAGTGAGAGCAAGAAGTTCTTGGTTTTCCTGTCAACTGCTATCTTCTGCTTTTTAAAGAAATGCCCCAAGGACACCCACAGTCACCCCAAAGCCACAGGAATGCTCTACACTCTTTAGCCCCAACACAGGCAGGCTATGAAGGGGCCAAGAATGGCCCAAACAACACAGTGATGTTTGATTTTCAATAGAACAAGGTCACTTCTAAAGACTAGAAGAGAAACCACTATTCCTTAAAATGCAGCAATTCTAGGAAACATTAAAAAAAAAACAACTAAACCCTGCCAAGAAAGCAGAAAAACTTCAATAACCACATAGCTACCACTTATTGTTTACTATGTGCCGAGTACGGGGCTTAAGCCTTTCTTCTCATATATGATCTAATGTAACCCACAAAACAACCCTGAGGTATGTATTATACCTCATTATACCCATTTCACAAGTGAAAAAGGAGGTTCAGAGAAGTGAGGTCAATTACTGGCCATTTCACGGCCACGGTAAAGTGAGGTCAGGACTGATCCAGAGGCAGGTGAGGCTTGACCTCTAATTGCTGCCGAGAGAGAGAAGTACTGAACTCCAAAGGCATCTGTGCTGAGTACTTAGGAAACGTCAGATGGGTGCCCAGCAGTAGGCTAGACCTTGAAGGCAAATCCTATATCTGGGTTAACATGATAGTCAATAGTTGTATCTTATTATTATTTTTAAGTAACATAGATTCTGAGAGTTCCACTGAGGTAGCAAATTCTTTCACATCCACTTCTAAAATCAAAATACCCAGATTTTGATAATTTATGTTATACTTTCTATAGACAATGAGGCTACACAAACCTAAGGCCTACTTACTTATTCTTTAAAATTAGTCATAGTAAGGAATATGCTTACAGTATCTTGTAATTTTTCTTCCAGTTATATTAAAAAAATGTTATTTTTGCCAAAATGAAGGTTTTAAGAACAAACACAGTCTGAGTGTATTTCCAGAGAATGCTCTTGTTGCACTGGCAATAGCTCCTTTCTCACCATTTGTTCCCATGTCACATAGATGCGGGGCTGAGAACCGTGGGGGTGTGTGTGGGGGGCGGGGGGAGGGAGACTGACGTTCGCAGCTGCACCGAGTCCTTGGCTGAGGCTGGTGCTGCCCAGATGCTATTACATATTGGCCGACAGGAGAGAAAGCAAGTCAGCTGTTTCAGACACTGGTGGGGCAACTTTCTCAGCCATAGATTCAAGGACCATGGCTGCCATTTTGTTGGCTTGAACTACCCAGTATAGACCTCCATTAGGAGAGAAAGAGCCCAACAAGCATCCCTTACAAGATGTGCCCCCTCCCCGAACCATGAGGGAGTCACCTGCCCAGTGCGTAGTCCATCTCGCCCAAGATTTCTGTTCAACAGGGATGCTGCGAGGCTAGGCAGAGAAACTACTCCTTCCTGTACTTCAGTCCTTAGCCTTAGATCAGTGGGCTCTAGAGAGATGGTCTGGTTTATAGGAATCTCTGCCTCTTGCCAATTCAAAATTTTAAATAATTTCAGACTTTCTGAGATGCTGGGTTTATTCAGAGGGAACCTAAGTGAGAGGGGTGGGGAGAAAGTTCTCTTAGAAAATCTAGACTTTTGGGACGGACAGGTGACCAACAGACTAGCACCTCAGGTATGCTACTATTTCCTTCCTTTCAACCCTTCTTCCCAGAGCCCCGATACAGAGAGAGAGGGAGGGAGGGAGGGAGAGAGGGAGGGAGAAGCCAGGAATAATTCATTGGAGTGTATGAATAATTCCTACGACATATACTGATCTTTGTGCCAAAATGAACACTCTTGTCATTTATGTGAAATAGCAAACAAGAGCACCAAAAGATTTGTTGGACTAATCCTCATTCTTAGAGACTGAGTTCACTGGACTAACACCTTATTAAAAACTGCATGGAGGCGCCTGGGTGGCTGAGTTGGTTAAGCACCTGACTCTTGATTTCAGCTCTGGTCATGATCTCAGGGTCGTGGGATCGAGCCCCACATCGGGACACATGCTGGGCATGGAGCCTGCTTGGGAGTCTCTCTCTCCCTCTCCCTTTGTACTGCCCCCCCCTTCAAAACCTGCATGTAAATAGTCTGTAAGACTGAAAGGGTAACCATAAGTTGCTTGTGAATGACTGTAAAACACAGCTTAAGGTGTTATGGCCCAAGATGCCCCATTCGTACTATGGATGGCCAGGAGTGCTAAAAGGAACTAAGTTTCTCAGGATGAAAAACATTCTTAGGGATGACAAACCAGGAGTTTTGCCTGCATACCAGCACTTTGATAAAATTCATCATAAAGGCATGAATCACCACGGATGTGGAAATATACTAGTAAGGAAAAATTACACAGAAATCCACTTCTCTGGTCAACCCAGGCTCTTCAACAGGATTAATAAATTGTGTATGCTGCCTTCTCTTCGTCCACCTGTTTATTCTGGCTTTTCAAAAGCCTTTGGTAATACTTCTCAGCAGAAGTTTTAAGATACACACAGCATATATGCACATACCTCTGAGGCACTGTGTGTCTCAGGGCAATAAAGTAGGGGCATTTCTCTGACAAGAAAAAGATGAATCTTATTTAATGTAGCTGGGAGGTAAAATGCCAAGCTGAAGGGGATAAACTTCAGATTTCAGAAGTGAATAAAAGGGATAATGAGCGTCACAGAATTAAAAATTTAAGGTAAAAAAAAAATCTAAGGTAAGGTTATATTTTCCAATATCCCTATTTTTCAGATGAGGATTTATCTCAAGCAAAACAAAATGAGAACCCTGGCCTCCCCAGTGCTGTGAATGCCTAGGAGCGCTCGAGTCATTCATCATCCCGCCAGTCCTCTCAGAGAGGTGGGGGCCTCAGGAGTATACCCCCTATGCAAAGAGATCAGCACCGTGCAGCAGGCCCTCTCTCATTTCTCTAGGCCCCTTAATCCACCAACCACCACACACACATATATATGGGGGCTCCCCTAAGACTGGATGAACAGAAAACATTATCTTATCAGCTGCCTGAAAAATAACTGTTGGTTTGATCTGCTGATTTGGAAGCCAGCCCTGCTGAGCTCAAGAGTTTGCTATTAGACTAGAGTTAATTCACTTGGGGTCTGTTTCCTCACAGCCCTGCACACCAGGCTCAGTGCTTTACCTTCGCTGTTGAAGAGTCCCACGCACAAAGCTTTAGGATTTGCTGAGGGATGAGTCACCCGTGCCCTTCAGTTAGGGTTTGTGGGTGGATTACCGCTCTCCTGTTGGAGTTCAGATTAACAAATGCCTTGGTTCTAACTGTTTAAAAAGTGATTTTTCCCCGCCTGAAAAATCAAAGTGAGAGTCTAGTCCTTTAGCTCCTTGAGGGTATCTTCAAACTGCAGCGTGTCGACGTGTGTTTACTCCTGCCATCCAGAACAAATCCCTTGAGCCTAGACAGACTGAGCGATACCCGCCTGGCTCAGGATCCACCTTTCAAACCCATAGGGGAAAGGCTATGGAAGTGCTGGTGCGCGTGGAAGTTTTCTCGCAGCTCCCGGCCTCCCCTCTGGGATCACCATAAAGGGCGCATACTCTTCTTTCCACCAATTTCTAACGAGCTCATTAGTGAGGGATTGCCTGAGAGTGGAACAGTTAGTTTGTATTTTCGGATCTAAATGCACAGAACCTTCTGTCAGACTCCGGGAGACAGACAATTTAAACCTGAACGTGATTAAACACAGAGCTGCCGATACTCCCTCCTTCCCAGCCTGCTGCTTCCCCTCCCCGAGCTGAAATCATCCTGCGGTTGGGCATGGGGCTGAGCGCACGGCGGGACCACTGCCCTGGCCTGGAGGCCGCACACGCACATGCCCTCCTTCCTAGCACACGCGGCCTGCTGCAGGGGGGCCTCTCTCACCGAATTTCCTCAGTGGGATGCACGGACGTGGAAAGCATGCTTTTTAATGTAATGGGAAAAGCAAAACAGTAGGAGTAGTCACTCTAAGAAAACCCAAGGAAATCAGCGAAGAGGAACATGGGAAAGAGCAGGCGAGAGTGTAACAGGGGAAGGGGAGCCGTGAGGGCAGCACACTCCTGTTGCCTGGAACAGGCTTTGCCAAGCCAGTGTGCGTGGACAGGAGACGGCCTTCCAAACCGGCAGGGATGGACCAGAGCAGCAGGTGCGCAGCACGCGCAGCGCAAGGGCCCCGCCGTCTACCCGCACGCTTACCTGCGATCCCTTGCAACAGCCCGCAGACGTTGAAAAGACTCTTCTTCATGATGCTCTGCACACACATGGTGAAGACGGACACCAAGGCCACGGTGCAGAGGATGAAGATGCCCACGGCGAGGAAGATAGCGGTGGCCTGCCAGAAGCCGCTGGCAATCTCGCCGAAGTTCTCGGCGTAGGGCCCGCACAGCGTCTCCCGCGGCACGTGCTGCACGCCGGGGTTGCGGATGCAGCGGGCGTAGATGCCCAAGGTCGGGTGGTAGGGCTCCGACGAGCCTCCGCTCCGGTCGTCGGGCTCGGCGCCGCTCCGACCCTTGGCTGTGCCGATGAGCCAGTCGGCGCTCATGAAGGCAATGAGCTCTGCAAAAGCCACCACAATACTCAGGAGGGTCCAGAGCATCGAGCGACAGGTGACAATAACATGACACATATTGATGTTCCAGGAGGAGAAGTCAGGAGTCCACGGGGTGAAGAAGAACAGCCAGCGGATGGGGAGGGAGGCTCAGGCGGCCTCAGGAAGCAGTCGCTGCTCCGGGCGCTCGCTCCCACAGCCTGGGGCTCCTTCTGGCCGGCGTCTGGCAGCGCGGCGCTGGGCCGTCATGCTGCCATGTCCGAGCTCGGAGCGCGGCCTCACCTACGGGAGGGAAGGCAGGAGGGCGGTGAGCGGCGGCCAGGCTCCGCCCCCCGGCGCCGCTGCCAGCGAGCGCGCGGCCCCCAAAGCCAAGTGTGCGGGCGCCGCGGGGCCTGCTCCCCGCGCTCCCCAGCCCTCCCCAGCCCGGGCCGCCGCGCGCCGCTCGGCGCCCGCCCGCCGGAGCCCCGCCGGAGCAGATCCCGGTCCCCAGCCGGCGCGCCGCGGTCACCGGTTTTCTTTGTTCCCATTCTCCATTCGCGAGCTCTCGCGCCCGGTGTGCGGTGGTTCCCTTTTCTCCGGGCCGGCGGGGGGCCGACCCTTCGGCACAGGAGCTCCCGCCAGAGCCGCGGCACTCTCGGGATGGGGCTCCTGCTCCATCATCTCTTACCAGACAAGGTCAATGGCACGGGGAGCCAGACAGATCTCGATAGGACCTGCAGGCAACGAACGCTGCCGACAGCCTGGCCGTGTTTTTATAAAGCTCACAGGGACTCTCTGCCTGCTGTCTTGGTACGAGATGAGGTGAGTTTTGAAAAACTCGCACCAAAAGCTTTTGCTTAGAGACAGCGCAGCAACACCCACTTTTATTGCCTGGGAATCAAATTAGTGGCAGAGACCTAAGAGGGAGGGTTTGCTTCATAGGTAAGTGAGAATTTATAAAAGGAAACAACACTATGAAAAATAACAACACACTGCTCCCCAAACTTATTTTTATTCATTTCTCACAGGGTGATTTCTGGACAAAAAGCTACACTAATTAAAACTCAAAGAAGAAAAAATAAAGCCTTGAAGAGTTCATGACTTACTCACTCGGGGAAATCCTTCAAAACGGGCATTAATGACCACTGACTAAGTATCATTACCACTGAGAAGACTTGTTGCCAGAAACTTGCCGAGGAAGAATGCATTCCTTGAACTGTCCCAATTCAGCCCATGTGCCTCTGCCTGAGCTTCCATTCACCCCAGGTCTGCAACTCAACATGCCCATTGTTTCTGATTGCACAAGGGCTCATTCTCTTCCCAGGGACAAATGGCTTCATTACCAGAGGGCTGTGCTCTAATGGTTCAAACCTCCTTGAGAGGGGCCTGAACCCTTAAACAGGGGTACAGTGCTCCTCGGCCGCCCCATTTGCTGCCCCTTCTCCAAGGTCAGGAAGAATCACACAGTTCACATCTGACATCTGGGCACGAGGCTGTGTTGTGAATGATTAGACATTATTAAACTGAGGTCATGTCAACCTCACGAGAACCAGAAAGAGCCCCAGTGGGGTGGGGCAGGGAGTTAGTGACGAGGAAGGGCAGTGGGGAAATAAGGAAGCCCAGAGTCAAAGCGTCCACACCACACTAGTGGACATGCTAGTGAGAGATTACTATTTATCTCCTAGAACGTGGCACATTTACAAATCCTCCTATCATTCTAGTTACACAAGATGCTCTTTTGGGAAATTACCTAACACAGTAGTAAGGACATAGGCCCTTCATCATTGTCAGTGTGCGTGTGCATGTGCGTGTGCGTGTGTTTGCTGAGTGCGGCTCTGCTGAGCATGTGAAGGGAGAAGCGGGTTCCACTCTAGGAGTTTTGGAGTCTGTCAGGTCTGGGTTCCAAACCCAGCTCCACCACCCACTGGCCATGTGGACGCCTCAACTTCCTCACCTACTCCATGGCAACAGTAAGGTATCCTGCTTCACAGTGTTGCTTCAGGAAACTACCAAGAATCTGTTAGAGCCCCTCAGGGCCTGGCAGTAAGTAAGCACTCAGTAACTATCACCTCGCTTCCCTCAGAAGCCTTTCCCTGAGCCTGGAGGACACTGGTCAGACAACAGTATAACTGCTGGAAGCGCTCGGCTGGTAACAGAAACATGGTCATTTCACGCAAACATTAAGCACACGCTATTTAGAGACGGATGAGGTCACTTGTGTCAGCCTCCCCGGTGGGCTTCACGGGTGGGTCCTGGTCCTACTTCCTGCTTCCTCACTGCCCAACCTGCTGCCAAATTCAACTGCGAAATAAATTAGCACTAGGCCAGAAGGAGAACCTACTCCCCCTCGCTCATCTCACCCCCACTCAACCCCAAATACCACCAAAAAGAAATGCCTTTTGAGACAAGAGTTAACAATACAAAAAAGAGGGAGGGGGGTGGGGGGATGGGTTAGCCTGGTGATGGGTATTAAAGAGGGCACATTCTGCGTGGAGCACTGGGTGTTATGCACAAACAATGAATCACGGAACACTGCATCAAAAACTAATGATGTAATGTAACAATAAAAAAATTATTAAAAAAAAAACAATACAAAAAAGCTTGGGAGGAGATAGTTTAGTCTGAAACGATCATTCTGAATGAGAACAATTAACAAGCCAGTAATGACTCCCGGGAGGTCCCACAAGCTGCGCGCACCTGCCCGCCCACCAGGCTGGCACACACCTTGCACCGACAAGTGGAAAGCCAGCCCATTAGATGAAGATGAGGCTTCTACAAAGTCTTTTCATTTGATTAGAAAGCAGTTCACTGAGATGCTAGCCGATCTTGATCCCTGCTCCTCTTCTGTTTAATGGACAATTTTCAATATGAACATAAAACTTCTGCGTGTACTCTTACAGAGCCTCGGGGCTCTGCTACAACCTCTCCGGCGACCTGGATCTTAATGACCGTGTCACGTGTTCCCTGTCCTGGGCAGCAAGCTCAGCTCAGAGTCAGGCCTGCAGTCAGGTCGCCACTTATGAAGAGAAAGAGTGTGAAACTTCAGGGGAACGGAAGGTGGCACATTCAGGCTTAGCAAAATGGTCCGGGCCACATTTAGGGCAGGATTATTTAGCGAGCCAAGTGGTTAAGTTCACAGAACGTAGTTCTCTTGTCTGTCCGTGCTAGAACAATCCCCCATCTACGGCACCAAATTCTCACATCCAGGTGGGCATGGCTGGAAGGAGGCTTTTATTCTTCTGTTTGGAAGAGGGAGATAACATGCTTTGCTCTCTCCAGCCTAGTCTGCTAATAACTAAGTGGGACGGCCGTACCACACAAGGCTGACTGACCGGCTTTCCTGGGGATCCAAAAAAAGTCCTCAGATCGACAGGACAAGGGAAAATCTGGAAACGCATCAAGGGGCTTCACCAGGAGCCTGTGCTCTGTAGAGTGTCCCAGTTTGGCCATGTCACATGTGCAAGGACAGACCCCTGCTGACACAACATCCATATCAAAGGGGAAACAGATCCTCATGACAGATGTTGTGAACCGTGGGGATCCCAGCACGGAGCTCAACACGGCCTCCACGGACGTCCCCCGGACTCCCTGCTTCTCCACAACTCACTCAATAAGACCAGGCCCTCGCTGACCTTCCATATGGAAGTCTTCTCTCCACAGGCCACTACATACATCTCCACTCCAGCACAGCTGACTTCACTGTCTTATCCCTGATGGCTGGGCCTCATCTGGACAGTCCTCTGACTTTCAGAAAATGATGCTGTGATTCTCACAAAGGTCTGCAGAGTGAAGCCTCTTAGCGAGTAATAAGAAACTACAACAACAACAACAAAAAGAAACTCCTACAGAAACCTACAGTAATGATCTGCAGTCATACTAGAGTCAGAATGCAGAGCAAGGGGAAAGTGACAAATGGCCGGTCTCCACAAAGCCCTCATATTTAAAACAAGGGTGAAGGTAGTAGGCTGAGCTCAACTGGGTCTGTCACTGCCACCACAGGGTCCTATCTTTGGCAGCTTCCTGCTGTCACAGTGAGCAGGGACGAAGGTGCAGGTGGAGCACAACCACCTGGGACCAGGTGGCCGGGAGATGACCGTAACAGAGACTGAGGAGCAGAGGAGGTGAAAGGACTTGACTCAGGTGCGTCACAGCTACCCAAGTGTGCCGCCATTATGAGAGCAGCGAAGCCCGTGAATGAAGCCATGACGTACTACACTGTGCGAGCTGGGATGGCGGCATTTTAAGAGCTTTGTAAACAGACTCATGAGCAAATCTCAGCTCTGCCGCTGAAGAGCTGTGTGTCCTTGGGCAAGCTATTCACGCTGCACCTTGGCCCGCACCCTTGGTCCTCCTCTGTAAAAAAAGGGTAGCAACATCTTCGTCCCGAGGCTGCCAGGAGGAATGAAGGAGACAGCACACGAGGAATGATCAGCAGAGTTTCCTGTTCACTGTGCTCAACATACCTGAGCTATTATCAATCATTATCAGAGGATTAAATAATTTAATATATTAATTAATGATTATCATTTTAATCATGGGATCATATGACTAAATAATAGATTTACTATAGTAACCCATGTGACCAGAAGGACCAATACACTTCCGAGCAGATTGCATTTTGCTCCCACGTCACTGATGGTTTCTTTGGCAGTATGGTCTCCATCCCAGCGTCTTCTGAAAGGATAAGAGGATTAGGTGAGTAAAATTTATGTGCTTTTTGCCTTCCAAGAGTTGGAAAGACCCTCCAGAAGGCTGCTTCTTGAAGTGTGGTCCCTGGACCACCCCCCATCTCCTAGAGGGAGATGTAGGCCATCTGTTTTAAAAAACATTTAGTTCCTGGTCCCCACACACTGCATCAAACTTTCTGGAGGTGGTGCCAGAAAGTGTTTTTAACAAGCCCCCCCCGCCCCGGGGATTCTCTGCACGGCGCCGTCTAAGACCGGGTTGGGGGGAGGTCACTGGCCCTGGCAGTGCCTTGGAGCTGGGGAGGGAGCCAAGGAGGGGCTTGCCCGGCTCAGGAGGACAGAGCCAGACCACCTGTCCTCCACACAGCTCCTGACGTCACAGAAGTCACTGGGCCAGTGAATCTGCAGGGACGC